GGCCAGACTCCAACTCTTTCAAAACACAGACTGCATCTGCCTTTCTATTTTGCCTGAACTGTACCACTGGCAGCAAATCATTACACTTTACTAGTAAGAAGAAATCATCATTACATACACTGATACAGTGACAAGTATTACAACTATCATATCTTTATCTGAATCTATGGCTATATCTACAGCACAGAATAAGAATTTAAGAAAATAAGAAAACATTACAGAATAAGAACTTAAGAAAATGAGAAAATGTGTATTTTTATAACACACACTATCACTAAACTGTTAAAAAATAAAATGTAATGTTACATTGTTGCTCAGAACACTTGTCTTTTTAAAAGCAAACTCTGACCTAATCTATACCCTCTCATTTTGCAAATAAGGAAAACTGGAGGCCAGAATCATTAAATGACTTCACCAGGGCTACAAAGGAGCTAAGACAGAACCAGAAGACCCCACAGCATAAGCTAAGATACTACACTGTATTTGTGGTCTCAGAGTCATTTGCCAAAAACTTTTCTTTAGTTGTAATAAATTTCAGTTCAAATACAAACTAAATTACTAAAAGTAATTTATCTTCTTGATAACTCAATGCAAACTCTAGGAAACCTTGAAAAACAGTTATATCTGCTTAAAGTTATAATGACATCCTTCACTATTATTATTTCAGTCAGTACCAGTTTCACAGCTCCCTGGCTCCCTCCAAAACAAAGAATCTATTTGTTGCTTCAAACCTATGGTGGGCTCACATAAATAACCAAGTAATTGGTGGTTTGGTAACAAACAATTCTATAAAGCAGTTCACTAAGAAGTGAGCCACAGTGATGGGTAAGGTCTTACACTTTTAAATTTACTAATTTCTATTTTGTTTGCATTTTACACACAATACCCATTGATTGCTTTTGTTTAAAAATTTTTTCTGTTAAATAAAAATATAAGATATATGTGAGAAATTAAGGGCCTCTTCCTACAGTTGCAGGGGCTCAGGCTTGGTAGCTGTTTTGTTGCTGTGACTCTAAGGCAGAAAAAGTTGGCAAACTTTTTCCATGAAGCACCAGGTAGTACACAGTTCAGGCTCTGTAGGTAGTAGGGTCTGTAGTAACTAGTCAATTTGCCATTTTGGATTAAAAGGAGACACACATAGCACACACATAAGTGAGCACAGCTGTATTCCAATAACACCATTTACAGATGCTGAAATTTGAATTTCATATAATTCTCATGTACATGAAATATTCTTGTGCTATTTTTTCCAACCATTTAAAAATGGAAGAATCATTCTTAGCTTGTATGCCATACAAAATTGGGCTGTGGTTTTCTGACCCCTGCTCTAACATCTGGGATGACACCTAAGTCAACTGTATAGAACCTTACCCAGTCCTCCATAATGTCCGATATTCAAGGTGCGCTAGGACAAGTATTCTACAACTGGAATCAGGATGTGTCTGGGAAATCCAGCTCTTCTTGGACCAACACTAGTACCCTGGGTAAGTTAATGACTCTAAACATTTACTAACTGTGTAATCTTAGGCAAGTTATTTCACCACTGTGCCTCAACTGCCTCAGCTATATGATGAGGATCATGGCTGAAATGAACAGTAAATAAGTTATGAGTGCATGATTAAAGAGTGCCTGGCAATTAGTTAAGTACAATATATGTATTTGTTAAATTTTTTAAAAAAGTAGCTCAGTTTCAGTATCCTCATTTTGGAATGCAGAGGATGGTGAGAAAGAAATAGCAAATAATGAGCAAATTATATATTTTATCACAGCTCTGCAGCATGTATTATTAAACACATCTCACAACAGAAAGTATGGCTCAAAAGAGTAACTATAACTACTTCAAGATGACACTGTAAATGTTGGAACCAATCTGATTTCAAGTTTCTAGTATGTATGGGAGAAGGGGAAAAAAAATGGTTCAGAGGAGATAAGTAAGGGAAAGCGCCTTTCCTTCTTCCATATGTTATCCTTTACAATCAGCTCCTGCTTCTAAAATGTGAATACAACTACCTCCACCACTACAAATAATAATAACACTTAACAATTACTGGGAAGTGACTATGAGCCAGACAAAATACTTAATGCCTTCACAGTATCAGCTTTTTTAAGCCTCATAACTCTACTTCATTTTACAGATGAGGAAATGGAGAAGGCCAGATGGCACGGACTAATTCAGGATCATCTATTTCCAAAGCCTGGGCCTCTCATGACCACTACACCTAGCTTCTTTGAGGTAAGCCCAGATGAATTTCTCTAATTATGGGCACAAAAAAAAAAAAAAAAATGAGTTTTAACTGGAATTTGTGTTTTTTTTTTAAAAAAAGGATGATTTCAAAGATAGGGAGGGATGTAGCAAACACAAGAAATATGCCTAGAAAGGGGGCAGCTATGGTCAGCAGGAGGGGTATGAGGTGGAGAGGGTATATGAGGAGGCAGAATGGAGTTCTAGAAGGCAGAAAGGAAAGTCAGACTAAAACTAACATCAGCCTTAAGTAAGCTTTCTTTTCTTTCACATATCCTGGGTGAATTCAGTAAACTGTTTTAGTTGAAAGGACTACTTCTGTAAGCAGGCAGTTCAGGACAATAGGTATAAACAGGACATAACAGACCATATCCAGTGGCTTCACAGCCCACCCTGCTATGGCTATAAGTAAAAACTTTACAGTGAGATGCACCATATCAGCTGATCCTGGGTTCAAACCCTAGCTCAGCCACTTGGTAGGTGGGTGACTGAAGAAGTTCCTGGATGGTTGAGCTTCTGTTTCTTTCTCAGTGAAATGGTGACAATAATACCTATTGCAAGAGGCCATTTTTTTTTCCCCCTTCTTTTTTATGGACCACAAAACGTTAAATTCAGAGTTGTCCTTTGTCAAGCTCGGTTTCAACTACATGATTACCTTAAATTATTACCAAGTACAAAATACAACTTCTTAGTCACATACTTAATATGTAACAGACATAATCAAAAGAAAAGCCTACCTTATTGTCAATCAGGAAATACATAATGAGCCCTTACTATTTACCCATGACTATACCCGGCATTAAATATATATTGAAGAAATGAAGAGGTGGTGGGTTGAGACCCTACCATCAGACCATGGTTCAAAATCTGACTCTACCATTAGTTTAGTACCTTGGTGACCTTGGGTCATAACAACAGAAACGGCAAAAGCTAACACATGTTTGTTAAGCCAGGCTCTGTTGCATGTATTCATCTCATGTAATCTTCTCAATAATCCTATGGAAGTAGGTATCATTACTTTCCTTATTTTACAAATAAGAAATTGAAGCACAGAGAGAATAAACAACTTGCCCAAAGTCACTAGACTCTAAGCAGACGGCAGGAATCCACAGCACCAGCCCTGTGCTCCTAACTAGTAGACACTGGTCTATAATATGTGCATAATCAACTTCTGCAGGGCTGGTTTAAGGATCAGAAATATGTGGAAAGAGCCTAGGATAGTAGTTGGCATGCAGTAGGTGGACAGGAAAAGGCCCAAGGATACATGCTATACTGAAACACAAACTAACAATCAATCTATTCAGGTTCCTTAGCCTAACCTTCTTTCAAAGTTCTGAGATAGTTTATTTATTATTACCCAAGACTGGATCAAAGTTCAAGTTTATATTTCATACTATAGGAGGGTATGAAAAAGAAATTTAAGACTATACCAAACTACTGCTAACACTAAACTTTATCTCTACAGAAAACCGCTTATCTGTTTCCACTGCCTCTACCAAATACCATCATAGTCATTGCTGCTGTTGCTTGGAATCAAGAGGTTTGCAGAAGGCATTTAAAACAAAAAAAAAAAAAAAAAAGGAAAGATTTTAATTTCATCACAAAGAGGTAGATTGGTTAGAATTATTCCTAATTCAAAACAAAATGAGAACGTTTCCAGAGACTAACAATGATTTACTTTTTGAAACAATGCATCAGAATCACTTAAAATACATCAATTCCTATGGTTTTGAGTGCAATTATCTTTTTACTTCAGTACAGTTTTCTTTAAGTCTAGCTGAAGGGTTGAGTTCCTGGGAATCTACATAAACGCTTGGTAGTTTAGAATAATTGAATTTGGGGAACACGCTAATCTACTTTTTTAAGTCCTTCACTTTATAAAAGAGAAAAGTGAAGCCAGACAGGGTCCGTAATTTGATCCAAAGTCACAAAGTTTGTGAAGACCAGATTCCTTTCTTCCAGTAAAATGATCTCTTCACTAGCAGTGTTTCTATCCTAAATCAGTTGCATGGAGATGCACACTAGCTATAAAAACCTGGGCAAGCAAAACATATGAATACAAGCACAGAAAAGAGTCTATAATGGTGCATATATTGAAGAAAAATAAATGCTAATTGAGCAAAAGGTTATCTGTTCTATTTTATTCACCGCCCTGCGATTTCGAAATGAAGTTCCTCCAAAGAAAGATAAACAGTAGCATTTTCTCCTTTACATCGCATTAAAGCACAATTACTTGAAGAAGAAAAAGCCCATTACAAATTTAGGAAACTCCAAAATTCGGAGTCTGCAACTAGCTCCTCCACTGTTTACTGAAACACTTCCTTCGGTCTATGTTGCTAAAAACTTGAATCAGAACCCTGGATGTATTTATGCAAGCAAGAGAGAAAGCTAAAAACCTGAAGCTTTCCTCCCTAAATGTTGCCAAAGCTGCTACAAAAGATGACAAGTATTAAAGATGGGCATTTCCATTCATGTCCCTGCATGCCCACTGTTAAGAGGGCTTTTCATTTTTAATTACGTTCCCATCCCGAAAAGGAACATTAGTTTTTTATCTAACAAACTGTCTTTCGAGACTCCGCGTTAGGTATGTTTTATGTGTATGACAGATTTCCCAGGGTGCGATGGAAAGTAATTGTAACTCCTGCCCTCAATGTCACTTCTCTGCTGGTGTTTATCTGATAGAGCGCCCTCCTAGGGCCGCCACAAGACCGCTCAAAAACAGACTTGGAGAGGGATAGGCCAGCGGGACCCTACTTACCGAAAACACTGCATTCTGAAGCCCAAAAGGTATGGGGGTCAGTCTGGCCAGCGCCACCACTTTCAGGCCGCTTCCTCCCTCCACGACGCGAATAACGGCGCTCAGCTTGTCGCTGCTCTGGATCCTGGCGGCCACCCAGGCAGTGAGCAACCGCTTGCAGACCACATGGGCGATGAAGGTGCCGATGAGGACGCCCACCACCATCAGACCCATGCCCAGCACGAAGCCGTACAGGTAGCCAGCGGCCACGTTGAGCACGATGTAGCCCCAGCCGCAGGGGAACGAGACCACGATGAAGCCCACGACGAAAAGCAGGACCCCTAGCAGCGAGTCAAGGCTCTCCACCCACAGCAGGAGGTGCTGAAGGTAGCGGCGGACCAGGGCCAGGGAAGCGAAGCACAGGGCGGCCAGCACGCAGACCAGCACGAGGCTCCGGCACCAACAGGTGCTGCTGAGGCAGCAGCAGCGCCAGTTTCTCACCTCGGCCACGCCGACCACCACGCCGCCGCCGCTCCCGGGGCAGCCCGCCAAGGCCCCGCCCGGCTCCGGCAGCTCCGAAGCCGCTGGCGGACCGTGGCGCTCCAGATAGGCGCCGAGCAGGGCGCCCGAGGCCGCCGCCGCTGCTGCCGCCGCGCTCGCCCCGCCCCCTCGGGGAAGGCGGTCCGCCAGGCCGTCCCCGCCCGCACCCCGCGGCAGGGCCCAGCGGGCAGGCAGCTCTGCAAGGCCCGGGAGGGCCGCGTGCTGCAGCAGCCGGGGCAGCGCCTGGAGCAGGATCCCGCCCGGGCTCCGCATGCCTCGGCCCGGCGCGGGCCCTCAGCCGACCAGCCCCTCCGCCGCGGCGCCTGTTAGGCAGCTGCCCTTCATGGCGCCCGGTTCGCCCGGCCTCGACTCCGTGCGTCCGCTCAGGGGGTGGGAGACAGCCCGGACAAGGGCGCGGAGTCAGCGGAGGAGCGACGGCCGGGCGGAGTGAGGAAACTCCCGCCCCAGCGCCCACGGAGCCCACTCCGGCGGTGCCCGCCCCTTGTCGGCCAGAGGGGCGGGGCCGCGGGCGCTCGGGGCGGAGCGGGCTGTGTTCTGGCCCCGCCCCCGTGACGCCTGCCCGCCAGGCTGCAGGGGTCGCGGGGCGTCTGCGTGGGCCAGCGGAGGCCCAGGGCTGCTGAGGGCAACTGCTGGGAGGGCAGGCGCTCTGGGGAGGGCGGGGCGACTGTCAGGGGCGCGCTCCCCGACTTCCCACAGGCACGCGCATGCCTGCGTGTCAGGGCGCGCGCTCCTCTTCTCGGACCGAGGCGACCCCAGTCCGTGAGCTGCTTGGATCCTCGCCCGTTCCCTCCTGGTCGTTTCCGCAGTAACCTCTTATCGGAGCGGGCAGCTGTGAGTGGCGCTCACATCCGCCGCTACCCTGTCGAATTGGGGAAAGCGTTCTTGTCCTGTTCTGAGGAGGGTTTGGCTATTGTCCTTGGCCCTATTCTCCCTGTCTCAGACTTACCTCCCAGGTAGCGAGGTCACCCTGTGGGTTTCATATCGCTTGGTCCTTTAGGAGCTGGAAAAATTAGGTATAAAGTCCCCCCACCGCCTTGACAGAACGCCCCTTTTGACTCCAGAGGTCCTTTATGGAGTGCCAGGCATTGGTCTAGGGGCTTTTGAAAAAGATTCACTGCAGGACATTTCTTAAGGGTTCGCTTTCTCAGAGGGCAGCTTCTCAAACTCATTCGCTGGTTTCTTTTCCTCTTTTTGCCTGTTTAAGGTTAGTGTTCCCCAGGTCCTCTTGCCTTCTTCCTTTTTAGAGTTCCCTGAGCCATCTCATCCAGGCCCACAGCTTTGATCCTGCCGTGCCCCCCATAAGCAGTGACCCCTAAGTCAATGTCTCTGCCCACACTTCCCAGCTTGTGGTCTGGCCTGTGGACACATCCAGACGGAATTCCTGCAGGCAGCTCAAACTCAGCAGAGCTTGGTAGATAGATGATCAACCTGGGCTCTGGTGCAAATCACGTTTAGCAACTGGTCAAACCGTCAGTCCCTGAATCTCATTGTTTCTTTTTAAATTGCAAAATGAAGATAATGGTACAATTTGCTTCGTAAGAGTGTTGTGAGGATTAAACAAAATAGTAAAGTAAGGTGATTAGCACTATGCCTGAAATTAGTCTTCAGTAAATGTTAACCATGTGATTGTATCCCTCATTAAAAGTGTGCTCCCCCATAGACCGACTCTTCCTTCTGGGTTTGATATCTCAGTGGATGACCTTCCACCCAGTTGCCTGCCAAATAATGGCTCAGGACACCTTAGGTCCTTGCTGATCAGGCTCCTTCTTGCTCCTCCATGCCATTCCCTTCTATCCACCCTGGTTGGACTGAGTCAGAGTCCCTACTAGATGCCAGGCAAGTGCTGCATCCTTCAACTCCTTTTTCCAAGCCTTGTGACTCACACGGAGGAGCAGCTCTTACTGCTCCCACAGCATTTACCTAAAGTTTTACTTTGGTAAAACAGTATCAAGGAGGGGTGGTGGTAAACCATTCATGGGAACTCCACCTCCATGATCCAATCACCTCCCACCAGGCCTCTCCTCCAACAATGGGGATTACATACAGTTTGACATGAGATTTGGGCAGGGACACAAATCCAAACCATGTCAGTCCTACACTACCTTACCATCACCATCACCATCACCCTCAATTTGGTCTTTCCTTTCCTTTCCCAGGCTACTTTCCATATGGCCATTATCACGTTTGTCCCATTGTATTGTAATTTTTTGTTTACATCACTGTCTCTCTCTTTAGGCTTTGAGTTTCTTCTGATGGGCCCTTTACTTATTAAATCTAAGGAGCAATGAGCCCTCTTTAAATGTTTATTGAATACACAAATGATTGCCGTTTGTAGGGGGAAAGTGAAGGCAGGAAAACCAGACAAAATTGCATAGGCAAGAAGCTGTCAGGATCCATGAAGTAGGATAATGGTCCTGGTGTTAGTTGAATGGGGATAAGTTTAGAGAGGAGCTGGGCAACTGATTTGTTTTCAGAAGAGAGGGAGGGGTCGAGGATAACACCTGGATTTCTTATTTGAAGTAATAGATAATGGGGCCATTGACCAAGAAAGCGACTACAAGTCTGTAGGAAAGATAGGGTTCACTCTTGATACATGAGACTTGAGGTGTCTCAAGTCTCATCCAAATGTGCTATTCCAGTAGGTGGTTGAAAATATAGATATGGAATTAAATGGGGCATCTCTCCTAGAAATTTTGACCTTGGTGTATAGGCAGCAATTAAGACCATGGTTATGAATCAGTGCATGGTGATAGGTGTGCCAAATATTTCCTGTCTGGTTTTCCTGCCTTCATTTCCCCCCTACAAATGGCAATCATTTGTGTATTCAACAAACTTTTAAAGAGGGCTCATTGCTCCTTAGATTAAATAAGTAATGGGCCCATCTTGAAGAAACGCAAATATTTCCTGTTCTCTTTCGGGAATATAGCAGGATTGCATGCTCTGGCCTCCCTGTGATGGGGTTGAACTACATGACATGTTCTCCCAATTAATTGTGAGCATAACATTTAATTGTTGATGCAAGACGTTCCAGAACTCTTTTTCTCTTTGCCATGGCAATCATCAATGTTCCAGAGAGCATATGCACTATCAGTCTTGGTACTGGAGGGAAGATGATTCAGAACAGAGTCCCAGTCACATCATGAAGGACATGTAAACCTTGGTTGTTTTAAGCCACTGAGATTTGAGTTTTATTACCAGAGCAGATCTTTGTCATCCTGGCTAATGTGCATAAGAAGAGGTTTAAGGAGGAAAACTTGGAAACACCAATGTGCTTGTTAGACTCTTTTGCTTGTAAGAAAGAGAAACTCAGGAGACTACTTTAATTAAAAGAAGGAACGGCCGGGCACGGTGGCTCAAGCCTGTAATCCCAGCACTTTGGGAGGCCAAGACAGGCGGATCACGTGGTCAGGAGATCGAGACCATCCTGGCTAACACGGTGAAACCCCGTCTCTACTAAAAAATACAAAAAAAACTAGCCAGGCAAGGTGGCGGGCGCTTGTAGTCCCAGCTACTCGGGAGGCTGAGGCAGGAGAATGGGGTAAACCCGGGAGGCAGAGCTTGCAATGAGCCGAGATTCGGCCACTGCACTCCAGCCTGGGCGACAGAGCGAGACTTTGTCTCAAAATGCAATGAGCCGAGATCCTGCCACTGCACTCCAGCCTGGGCGACAGAGCGAGACTTTGTATCTCCAAAAAAGAGAAAAAAAAAAAAAAAAAAAGGGAGCAAGTGTTTACAGTGGGTATATGAGAATATTAGGAGTTCAGGCATAAGCTACTCTCTTATTTCTTTCTCATTGTGTTCCCCTGCTTTTTGCTATCACTTTAATCTATTCTCATACTACCAACCAGCTGATTAATCCACTTCTTATCCTTAGTCTGTATTTCAGAAGAATGTAAGCCAGTTCAGAGTTCTTAGCTGTAAGTCGCTTCATGGGCTGCTAGCCAATCTGGAAATGAGCTACTCTTGGATCAGGTGCCCATCCTTCTCTAAACAGTGTCACTCCTACCTGAAACATCATTCAGCTTTCCTGGGTATGGGACCTCTGGTAGGGCAGTGCAAGCTGTAGTGGGATATTTCTACTCTCATCCCACTACAATTTATTTTTCACAGAATCGTGAAAGTTACATTTTACAGTTGGACATCAGATGTGTCTTAATCCACATCTACCAGCCCACCACAACCAGCCTAAAACCCTTCTATTGCATTCAGGAAAGACCCAACTGCCTGCCTGGCCTATAAAGCCCTTTATGATCTAGCCTCTGCCTGACATTCCTGCCTCACCTCCTGCCACCCTCCCTCTCACATGTTCCAGCCACCCAGGCCTCCTGTGTCTCCCTTGGATGAGTCAAGCTGGTTTCCTCCTCGGGACATTTGCACTGTGCCCTTGCCAATCTTTCTTGTTTGAACACGCTGCCCTTGACTCTGAGAAAGCCTGGTCTCCTCCTTCTTGTTCATTTTAAGCTCTCCTGTCATCTCCTCAGAGATGACTTTCCTGATTACCCTCATCTAAAGGACTGCCCTCTCCACATCGGGTTACTGGTACCCCTTATTTTCTTCATAGCACTTATCATCACCTGAAATTGCCTTGTTTATTCCTTTCTGTCTGTATTCCTTAAGCAGAATGAAATACCATGAAAGTACATATCGTTCCTGTCTTGTGAACCCCTGTACTCTGATTCCCTAGAATAGTCCCTGTCACACTAAATATTTTTTAAGTGAAGGAAAGGGCAGTGGGCAGTGTGCTCAAGTGCTGGTTGTTCTCTGGTGTCCTCTACCCAGGTTCAGTGTCTACCCTTCCCTGGCTTGCTGTGTGTCTCAGGAGGTTGGCCTCTAGAGACGGTGTCACTCAGCCTCCACTGGGCTCTGGATTTCCAGTTAGGCTTGACCAGTGAGAGGCACCAGCAGAATACTGGAGGATAGTACAAGTGAGAAGTGGTCAGGGTATTTATCACTTCCCAATTGATTTTCACTATGGTTTTGACAGTGGTTCAATTTTGTGAACAAAGTTCTTATTTACCAAGTTTCCAACTCTTTCCCAGCTCTAGTTATGGTTTTCTGATGCTTTGTCATCCTTTTAATACTTCATTGATTAGACTCTATTTACAGTTGCTTTTGTTGCCTGCAGAGACTCTCACTGACACAGCAGGGGCAGGTCAGAGGCTGACAAGCGCAGTACAACCATCACTTGAGTTCATATAACTCACCCATAGCCACACAGAGAAAGTGGTAGACGCAGATTTCAAATGTAAATTCAGAGAGTATGAGGAGATCTGCAGAAACTGTTAGAAGTCCGAGGAAGGGAGAATGTTAAGACGTTAAGATGGAAAGATGGAATGTTAAGATGGCTTGTCAAGTGTGATTGGAGTCCATTTTTCTTCTGGGTTTGGTGGCCTGCTGTTCTCTGATGCTCATTAAAATCTTTAATTAAGGGGTATTTTAGAGTCCCGGGCTCAAAATTAA